AGACCAATAAGATAATTCATGTTGACTCTGTTCGTATGGAGCAGTTTTAGCGATGAAGCACTTGCAGAGCTGCTCCGGGCTCCATAAACACTACAGCTGCTAAATAATTTGTTGCAAGCAGATTTTGTTTACCAGCATGTGTTTATGAATGAATATGAATTTGCATACTTTGCATGCACACTTGAGAAAGATAGTGGAACTACATGGAAATGTGTGATGAAACTTTTAACAAGCTGCAGCTTGTACTGAGTGTAGGCAGTCGCTGTGGGGGAAAAAAAATAGTGCTTAAGATTAGAGAATTTAGCCAATTGCAAAAAAAAAAAATAAAAAATCACTTTGTAAACTTACCTTCAGCATTCAGGCATGTTGAGTGGTTTTGCACTTTGTAGAAAAAAAGCTAAGCTGACGACAGATCTTCAGTATGCAAATATCTGAGAACATCTAAAAAGCTGCAGCCAGGATTGTAGAAACCCTTCCCATCTGTCAGTAAGGACTACAGAGCCACACAACTAACCGAGACAGCGTGTTTAGCTGGATAGCCATCAGTCAAGGGGACACAACAATGATGGCAAAGTCCCTCATGCAAGAGTTGAGACTACTTAATATTCTTCTGTTTATTAGGGATTAATTGTTCCATCTGGCTCTCATGAAAACCAGTGAAGAAAATAAAAAAAAAACAAACAACAACAACACTCCCTCCTTTTTATCCTGACGTGTTTTCTCGCCTCATTGTGGCTAGTAAACGGTGAGGCTTGGAGGAGGAGCCTGGACTGGACAGTCAGTACCTGAGGGAGAGCTGGGAAATTTGATCATTTTTCTTCGGGTCTGTCATACGCCATAGGCTGCCTCATTTGTCTGCTCCAACTCCTTTGTTTCCACCCGACTCACTGTTCTAGGATTAGGCTGCAGAGCGAGAGGCGAGCAGCAAAAGAAGACAGAAAGAAAGAGAAATACAGTCCAAGGAACTATATGAGCTAATTATTATAGTGCTTCATGTTTCTTTAATACAGTACTTAGGTCTAATGTATGTGTTGCAGTATTTAATGCATGCTGAGTGGTCGAAAATGAATGAAAGCAGGTTTGGAGAGTGAGGCGAGGAGGGAAGAGCGAGGCTACACAACAGTGCATTTGTGTTGTGGTTTTTTTTTTTTTGCTCCAAATTGCCCTGCAGTTCCACAGGAGTGATGTTGACCCAGTTTATCTCCCGCTCAGGTGATTAATGCAACATCGCTCCAAACAAAGGTCACATCAGGAGGCAGGGGAGCAGGCCAGAGCACAACAAGAGCTAAGGGAGTTATATATGACTACTGTTATGGCTGAGAAAATCAGTTGTTTGTTTTTTTGTAGGGCATCACTCAGTCTCCAGGGACATACATGGAGAAGTGAAAGAAACAAAACAATAGAAGACACACATATACACAATGAGGCAAGAATGAGACTAACACACTACTGCTAGTATAACAAATATATTACCATTATTGTTCCCATATTAATGTTTTTTAAACATTGAGTTAGCAGGTAGTGATGTTATGCTATGGAGATGTCAGATGGAATAAATGAAAATGATGCTCCACTGATATAAAGATTAATTTTCTTAAAGGTGCAGTATGCAAGATTTTGAACATTGATAGCATTAAGCTAACAGCTATCTAGTATTGGAGGTGTTAATGAATAAGTGTTAAGTGACTATTTGCAGTATTAATTGATTAAAAATATACCAAGCGATGAGGAAGAGGACAAAAGACATGTCTGTTAGAAAATGTATTGCAGACTAGCTGTAGTACATCGTGGCACCATCAGGTGGCGTCTCTTTCTATTTAATGACATGGAAGACTGGATCTTGTCATGTAGAAAAAAATAAGCTCTTGTAGCCATTTGGCAAATAAAATCAAGATGATTATGCAGCAAATGTTAAGCGTATATGGTTAAAAATGGCATCATCAGCATATGGAGAAATGCCCACTCTACTTTATTTGTTACTCCGTTTAATCAATTATTGACCGATCATGTGGCCAACACTGCATAAGAACATTTATAAAAATTTGCATCTATGTCTGCTATGTAATGATATTGCGGAGTAATGATGATGACTGAAATTGCACCCCTTTTTGTTATAGTACAAAATTCTCCGTTCTGGCAGCCTGTCCGGCCACACATGCATATTAGTACATTTGAGTTCCTCCCTTTGAAACTGCTGATGACGTTACACACCAGATTGGCCAAGCAGAAAACCCAAATAATTTCAAAACAAAATGTTTTATTTTTGTTATTTACCTAATGCATGTGCACTCATTTGGTTTCAGCTCAGTGTGGTGGTTTGTTCTGCTGTTTAGAGGCTCTGCTTTGGTGCTTCTCTGCTCTTGAGAAGGTCACATTATGAAGACGGCAAAAAGGCGGGGAAGATGCTTGCCTACCAAACTTGTACAAAAACACGCAATTATTTCTTTAAGGGATAGTAATAGTATGGTACTTCTCTCCGTTTCTCTGTTTCCATACATGGGTCTACTCCAGTCTGATGGACTGTGGAAACAGACACACACAGAGCAGAACACAGTTAATGTGTCTGTTTGGTTTGGTCTGAGATGCTGATACTCTAGTTGTGAAAAGATGCTCACATAACTTTTAACAGATGTTTGTCTGGAGCTTTCTAAAGTGATAAACAGATAACCCTGGATGATGCCAGTGGGAGAGAGTTGCATTATAGGAAGTGTTCTTTTATATTTTGTTTCTCATAAAGAGTGTCTCTTGTGAGTCCAATGACATTATAGAAGAGCAACACCACATAAATTGCTGGAGTGTTGTGTTAAGAAGCAGCAATGTTAGGACACCAGCTGTGTAATACTAAGATCCAGATGACGTCTGTGTGTGTGTGTGTGTGTGTGTGTGTGTGTGTGTGTGTGTGTGTAACCTAACATGGGAATAGAGACAAATTCTGTGATATCTTTAGACTGTCTTTGCTTCTTATTTGTTCACATAATAGAGTAGGGCACACCGTGAAGGTTGGGTTCCACTTAAAGGGTCACAAAATCAATCAGAGAAGTTAAGAAATGATTAATGTCTGTAATATGTTCCCCCAGATTTCTTTAATTTTTGTTAACTGGATAGTTTTACCTTTTTCTCATCTGTTAAATATTAATAAGAAACTAAACTTTTGCTGCTTTCTTAGTTGGAAGCCAAAACAAGTGGGGAACCTCCCTCGAATGGGATCTAATCAGGAAGTGTTGCATGTAGCGATGTAGACATTTTTTATTGGAGAAAATAAAAAACCCATTCTGAGCCGGGCTTTACAGACGATTTATGCTGTCAGGTCCTATCAATACCTCGCTGCTGTTTAAAACATGTTGAGTAATTTCCCAAAATACACTGTGTCAAATCCACTAAGTTGTGTAACAGAACATGTATGAGTGAAGAATTAGTGGAGGGGATATCTGGCATTAAAAATAAAAGCTTTCGCTGTAGGATTCCCTGGTGGTTTCTATGTCTTTAATGTTCGTTTAAAGGCAGCACATACACACCAGCCAGTTACTTGAAACTGTCTACCGCTTGTGAATTTAGGTCATTTTGTTAGAGTCTGAACTAGACTACGTGCTTATATTTCCACCACTATGCTGCATTTTTAACAGAGTGTGTAATTCAGGCCCTGAAACACAGCTGCTTTTCAGTTTCACAGCCTTCCACGGCTGACACTTGAGGATATAAATGTTTTTATAGTTATCATTTTAACCAATTTCGGTTTGCTGTGTGAGCAAAAGGCTCCACTCCAAAGCCGTATTTAAATAAAACAGTAGGTGTAATTGCGCTCCTGTGCCCACCTTATTTTCCTTTCTTATTTTTGCGGTTATCTAAATTATAATCTCTGGTTTCAGCGTTTATACCAAAGCGCATTCTCTGAGGTATTCCACATCCATAGTTTCTCTTCCAGAGAAATTACTGGTGCTAAATGAAGCAATGATTTTCTTCATATGTGCCAGCCGTAGTGCAAATGGTTTTCAATCTGCCAGAAAATCCAGTTCATTTTCTGGAGATGAGGATGAAGATGGAATGAGTGAACAGGGGCCATTTGGGCATTGATCAAACATTCTGATAATGTTGCATCAAACTGTGTTTTGTATGTATGTTTTCCAGCGTTGTATTCATGAAATGTTCTTTTTGATCATCTGTTGAGAACACATTCAGGGAAAAATACAGTTAAATAAAAATTGTGTCTGAATGCAGCCATCCTCAGTATAACTGTAAAATTGTAGGAGGTATATGAGAGCATGGCCTGAAGGACACAACAGTCTTTACACAATAGGTTATATTTTCAGAGACAAGACTGTAAACCAGTGCTGGAATCTGATGCTTCCCAGGAAGCCTTTCAAATAATGTGCAGCAACTTATATTCAATTCAGTGAGGACACTCATGCCAGCATTCGCACCATTTGTTGCAACAATGTCCACTTTAGTTTGTCAGTGTGGCTCTGCTCATGTATCCTGACACTTGTTACACAGAACCAGTCATCCTTGGAAACTGGATAAGGCACAAAGGGAGGTGATTGGATGAACCATCTGTCAATCTCAATCTATCATGGACTAACTTCAACTGTGGCCACACCTAAAACACAAGTGCCAGTAGGTCCTCATAAGATGCTGATTGGTTCAAACCATTAGCCACAAGCGTTTCTAGAATCTTTTGAATCTCATGAAAATCAAGCTGCCTTGCAAGGTAACTTCTCATGTGACGCACTGGAACAAATGTAAGGAAGCGTGACACTGATCTGAGCACCTAATAAACATCAGCACAGAAAAGACTCAGTCCTTCAGCTTTCACTTGGTCTAAAAAGCCCAATAGAAGATGGAACACTCCGAACACGGAGGTTTAGTAGAACTAGTCAATCCCTACATCAGCTCTGCTTCCATGAAATGATTTTGAGCAAATGTTGCAAAAAAGGCACCAAAACAAAGCCGTTTTTTTTTCACTGCAGACAAAACACTCACCTTTTTTTCCCTGTCATCCTCAGGTGAATGGGAAGGAGTTGTCTAAGTCCAGCCACGATGACACTGTGGAGGCCTTTCGCTCTGCCAAGGACCCCGTCGTGGTGCAGGTCATCAGGCGGACCCCCAGCGGTCGCCCCCATGGCCCCCCTCAGGAAATCCATGTGGTGGATGTGTGCACTCAGACCGACATCACCTTTGAACACATCATGGCGCTGGCAAAGCTCCGGCCTTCAACCCCTCCTGTGCCTGACGTCTGTCCCTTCCTGCTCTCCGACAGGTGAGAACAACAGGAAATATGAGCGACATGTCTGTAAATACTTGACTCCTTTTAGCCCCTTTTCATTCCTCGTGTTACATCCACAAAGTCGCTCACTTAGCCCAATGAAACACGATGAAAAGTGATTAAAAAAAAGGTAAAACTGTGTGAAGCAGGTCAGTGATTTCATATAATTTCTTATTTTTCTTATTTAATTTTCTATGATATAATTAGACAGATTTCGGTTCGCTGCCGCCGAGAAAACAGAGTTTGTTGTGTCCTTGTTTTGACTTTGGCTGGTAATTAAGAAGGGAGGGAAAAAAAGTAAGTAGTGAGAAATGTTATTGAGCTATGAAGCAGAAATATCAGTGTTTGCAGGATTAGCATTACAAGCATTAAGGACGCCTGTGAAATATAAATGAATTGTGTAACCAGCTGCATAGTTTTCTGACAAATATAGATTTGTTTGATGAATGAGCTTCTCTGTGTCCTTCATGTCCTCTTTCTCCAATAGGACGCGCCGAATTAAAAACAAAAGGCAAATAAAGAACACGCTCAAGTGGTCCTAATTGGTCATGAATACTGAATGTATATGTGAAGTGTGATAATGCATCATTAAGTAGTTGGAAAAAAAACTGAGAATCAATATAAAAAAATAAATCTAATTATACTCAAAATGTTGCCTCATATTTAACGCCCTCAGTAACTTTGAACACGTGAACTTTCCAACCTCTCGAGTCAATGACATTCGTTACTCCTACAGGACTTGAACACATCATAGGGGGATAGTTGTAACGGATCGACAGATGCAATGCACGACATAAATCGATGCTCAGAGTTTGCCTGTTAAATCAGGTTTCCTTGCTCAGTACATAGTTTTCTCAGGTTGTTGAATGTCCTTTACAATTTTCTACTTTCTGAATGATGCTGCACTTCCTTTCATATTTCCCCCGTCTGCTTAAAAAAAATCATGCAGAGAACTCGGCTGTCAGATAAAATATGTTTGTGTGCTTTGAACGCCTATACATTAAGGGGAGATTAAAGACTGTCACCTTGTGTGCGGCAACACACGTGTGCTATAATCACTAGAATTCTAATCTCAGCTGAACGCTGTATATGTCAAATCTGAGTTTTTTTGTATTGTTTATGAGAGACGAAAGCATAAAAATGAAAAAAGATCTTGAGAGTTTAAAGTATCAACAAGAGGTTTTCCTGGGAAACAACAAAGGAAACATGGTTTGTTTTTCATCTTGTGGCATTTTACTTTATATCCTGGTCTTCCCAGAGGAGAAGTAAACTGCGAACAAGAAAAGTTTTGCATAAAGGAATATCTGGGTTTCACCTCTGGGGAGTGGAACAATAACAGTGCAGGAGCTTTATAGCGCAGAAATGGGAAATCGGAACTGTCTCGGTGTTTGGTGAAGTAGATAATTAATTCTAATAACAATAAACTTTTTGAGTTCTGCATTTGTTGTCATTTGTAATTGGACACTTGTTTAGACATTCAAGGTTAGAATTTCGACCTGATGCTCCATCTGAGTTGGTCAATATTACAAACATCTTTTTCAGTGTTGCACATTAGTTACAAAGATGATCGGATCACAATCATTACACACGTGTATATATGTCTACAAATATATATCTGTAACAATAGAAATCCCCACAGGCAATTCTTGCCATAATTGGAGCTGCTTCATGTATCCATTTTCTCATGAAGGCTTTACAAGGTGATTAAAGCAAAATGGGCTAATAAAAAACTAGGCAACACTAAGCAACGTATACTTACAGCCCCAGGCCGGGTCCAAATGTAATCAATGTGTTCCATAAAACTCACATTTTCTTCTCTACATCTGAGATCAGGTGCACAACCCAATATACTGCAGTTTTTATAGATATAAGAAATGTTTGGCATCTCATATTTGAGGCGAGATTGTAAATGTGTAATTGTGTTCTTCGCGCAGACTGCCAAATGTTATTATTGGAGTAATACTGAGGCATCAAGCATTCTGACATTTACAAGTCTTGTTTTTATCACTGAAAGGTTGTTTTGAGACAGTTTTATAGTGCTGGGTAATATGAGAGTCAGACAGCCCCTGAACACATCACTCAACGTGTTCAACGCAGCGTCTTTTTTTTTTTTGAAATTTTTGTCCACCATGATTATCTTGTGTGGTACCGAAGCTGCTCATCTTGTTAGGGCCCTCACAAAGCTGTTTTGTTCAGTGACTGAGGGAGGCATAATAGAATTACACTGTACAATGTGGGGGGCTTTGTCTGTCAAGAGCAGGAAGCAAATTACAGTATGTGGATATGTTGTTATTAACAAGGGGCTGCACTTTTATCACACACACACACACACACACACACACACACACACACACACTCCAGCGGCAGTTAAAGCTCTTGACAAATCCTTTATTCTTCAGATTCCAGCAAAGACAAAAGCGACAAAACCCTGTCACTTTGAGATTTAGAACGGTTTGAAAGGAGATGATGAAAAGTATCTTTCTTACGCCCCAAATCTCCGCCTCTTTCTGCTTCCCTGTCTGTCTTTCCTCCTCTTTCTTCCTCTGTCTGTCTCTCCTGACAGCTGTCACTCTCTTCACACAATGGACCAGGATTATTATGAAGGGACAGACTACTTCTCCCCTGTTCCAGCTGATGGAGAGAGGGCAGAGGAGTTTGAATACGAGGTAAGAATTCCGCTTAATTTGTGACATCACTCACTGGTTTGTGGACAAATGTTTGGAAATTTTGACTTTGGGATTTGACTGTCACCATTATGGTCACTTTGAACCGGATGAGGGCGAGTGTGGGGTGGATCTGGCTGAGAACTCATGTAAGGCCATACGGTAGCTACTTATCAAACAAGCGGTTAACAACAATTTAAAGCAGACCCTCCTTTATTGTGTACTTTACTCTAAATTAAGCCATAATTTACAAACTGAACATAATCCTGTTTTCAAAAACTCCTGAAACTAGCGACTGAGACCATAAACTCATTAGAAAAAAGGTTTACTGAGGTAGCAAATCAAATGAGAAGCAGGCTCAGTTTCTCACAGATTTCTGTACAATTGGACTTCTTCTTATGTAAGTAGTTGCCTCCTGCTGGTCATTAGCGAGAATGCACGTTTAAGTCACTTTGCTTTTCACAGCCAGAGGCTACAATCTACAATCTACAGTCTGTGCCAGAGTCTGACAGATTCATCAGCATGGCCAATATTACATTGGCAGGAAACTAACAGGAAATTGCAGTAGAGAAAGGCCACACATTACAAAAAAAACCAAGAGGAGTGTTGCTATTCCAAGGTTTGTATTTCCCAAAACACTTGGAAAATGACTTAAAATCTTAGGTCTGCACATCCAGTGTCACACACAGTCCAGAGAGAAGCGCTTCGCAAGCTTTCAGGGATTCTTAACAAAATGTCTGTTTCTGTTCTGTGTTCAGGTGAAGCGTTGATCGAACAACATATTTGTATTTGTCTTTATTATTATTGATATTTAAAACCACTTACAAGTCCAAGTATTATTCGAGCCTTACTGCTAAAAAAACAAGATATGTGCTGAGAACTCCCTCAATATCCCATATTCAATGCTGCTACCTAATTGGTGCAGAGGTGCACACAGTACTTGACTCTATGGAAAGGTCCCAAGGGGATAGTCGAGACAGATAATCAGCCACACCGCAGACAGCTTGAAAAATATTCCTCGCTTCCGTCGGAAATGATATGCATCCATGTTTTTGTTATTTTTCCCCGAATGAGGTGAACAGAGAAAGTAGAAAACTTCCTAACAGCTGCGGTGTTGCATCCAATTTGCTAATTGTTTTCCTAACCGTGGAAGAAACACCTAGCGAGGTGGTTGACTTGGAGCTCGATCAAACCCAATTAAAGTGAGTTGTGTGTGGCAGGTGCTAGTGAACGAAAAAATAGATAGAAACACATTTTGCTTGTGCATCTTAACTGGAGTGTAAGTAATGGGATCAGTAGTAACGGTGACGTTTCTAAGGCTGTTGGTCTCTGACACATGCAGATACACACACAGATACGTGAATTTCACTGCGACAGGAGGAGATAAACAGAATCTGGTTCTGCTCTCCGCTTTGGTCCGATATTCTTTCTTTCCAAGTCATTGATGTGCGAGCATATATCGCACCGAGTTGTCTGATGTATGATGATTGCTCAACCCCCCCCTCTTCTTATTTGTTTCATTTGAATTTGTTCTGAATGCTTCCACCCACCGAGCTTGAGCGGTTTCTTCGCATTCTAAAGAGATTTGCGCACCCACTTGGATCGCCGAGGCCGCAGTGTCAAATCAGAACAAATATAATATATTAGAGCATCTCTTTATGCCTCATTGCTATTAGCAAATCCTATTATTCTGTGTATGCTTTGCAGCCTGCACCAGACTTCTTTTTTTTTATTTCATGCTCACGGGAGTTTTATACCACCCTAATGCTGTCCCACTTACTGTATGTCAAGTGAAGAACGCTGTGAGGGGGATGTAGGCAGAAGCTGAAAAGCCACTTTCAGAGTCGACCTGATCCCTCACTCCCTGCTGAATGAGAGAAATGAGAGTGAAGGGAAGACGGATCTTTAAATTACCTTTCTTTGATGAAAAGGCACAGTAGGAGAGAACAGTCTGCCATCACATAACAGCGAAAACATTTAAACCTAATTCACCTCCTTAATACACCAGCACGTGGATGCTGATGAGGCGGAGAGATGGCAGATGCCACTAGAACACACATTCACAGTCTGCTGTATATCTGAAACCTGTGAGAATCCATGTGAACAGTCAGTATGAAGTTTGAGTTTTGATTTTGTACTTCATAAATAAATGGCCACAGGGTGCACCACACACATACCTGCATGTGCATCTGATCCAGCCGAGCTGCTGTATTCACTGAACCGTTGTTTTTACAAACACCTGTAGAGTTCTTCATCACCGGCAGCGTGTTTACATGCATTTACAGCTTGCCTAATCGATACTTTTATATGAACCATCAGTCAAGTGACTATGTATCAAGTGGAGGTGTTGCTTCTTAGTAATGAACCCTCAGAGAATTATTACTCGTAATTGTTTTGGTTTTACAGCTGCTGCTTTAGCAAGCAATCAGTCAGAAAACAGCTCTGCATTAAAACAATGTAAGAGGCAGTGTTGACGTGGGCATGTTGGCTAAATTACAATCCGAGAACACCGGCTGAGTAAGGAGCTTATCAGACACTAAAACATTACAGCGCTGTTTTATAATGCTGGTAAATCCTACTGTGGAAAGTGGACACGGCTGTAACTGTTTAGCTTCTCGTTGTGTCAGCTAAGACCTGAACAGTAGAAGTACAATCATAAAGAATGAACATATTTCATTGGCCTTGTTACACGATCCAAGGCTCACAGGTGTACGTCCGGAGCGAAAGCCGATCCAAGTGGTCCGATCCAGCAGACGAGCCACTGAAGCACAACTAGCTGAAAACTTTAATGCTGGCTTTGATAGACAGTTGTGAGAACACACGGTGCATCACAGATTAATGTGTATGCATCTGTATTGCTGCAGACCGGATAGAGTGTCCATGCCTACCTCCGTTTACTGACAATGAGCTTGTGAGCATCAGTACTGGGCCACGGAGCAAAGAAAACAAGGTGGCCTCATCTGAGGATGTGTGCATCATTTACCTGAAAAAGAGGTGGCAGCGGGATGCACTATGGGAGAAGAACGAAAGAAAGCAAACTGGCAGAGGCAGTGTGATGCTCTGGACAATGCTGTGCTGGGAAACGTCGGCTCCTGCCTTTCATGTGGATGTTACTTTGACACGTAGCACCTACCTAATGCTGTTTCAGACCACGTACACCCTTTCACAGCAACAGTATTCCCTGATGGCAGTGGCCTCTTTCAGCAGGATAATGTACTCTGTCACACTGCAAAAATAGTTCAGGAATGGCTGAAGGAACATGACAAAGTTCAAGGTGTTGCTTTGGCCTCCGAATTCCCCAGATCTCAATCTGTTGGAGTATCTGACAAAACAAGTCCAATGCCTGGAGGCCCCGCCTCAGAACTTCCAGGACTTCAAAGATCTGCTGCTAAGGCTTTAGTTCCTGATACCACAAGACACCTGCAGAGGTCTTGTGGAGTCCATGCCTCACAGGGTCAGCGCTGTTATGGCAGCATTTAGAGGACCTACAAATGATCAGGCAAATGGTTTTTAATATTGTGGTTGATCATAGTAACATAAATGCATTAACTGGGCTTTTCACATCTTCAGAAAAGCCTGCAAACTGAAAGCCAGTTGCTATTTTTCTATTTAGCATGTTTGAATCTAAAGTAATTAAACCTTGGTTGGTCTGACTATGATGAATACAGACTGAAATTAAGAATTGTAGCTTCTACACATGTGAAAATTAGACCCATTCTCTTTTTAAGGCTCTCACTACAAATCCTTTTATAGTTAAAATAAACCAGCACTTGTTCAAAATATGTAGAAAGTAGAGAATTTGGATTACTGGCTGGTTTTAAAGTGACCAACTTCCTCGTGAAAGTAAATTTATTCTCCAGTTTCCTTCCAAAAGCCAATTTCAAGGTACTCTGTATGTCCTCGATAAAGACTATCTCGATGTTTAGCGATCTCAAAAAGCATGAGCTTGGACTTCAAAATAAATCCTTCTTCATGTAATTACAAAAGGAAAAAGGAGGGCAGGACATACATACAGTATGTAGCTCTACTTTCATTGTTCTTTCTGTAGATTAGGAGTCTGCAGAGTTCTGGGCCACAGTCTGTAACATCTTTGTCCTCCCTGACGGTCTGCTTGTTTGGATTGATGGGACATGCAGGCTGTCTCATGGCTAGAATTTCACACAAACATCGTACATTTCCCAGCATTAGTTTCGGTGACTTTTGAGGAAGTGAAGTACACTCCAATCTCAGAGATAGTGTTCCCTCTCTGTCTGCCAGCGGTAGCCATCCATGCATTTGCGACTGCTTTTTCAATTACAGGTAATCAAAGGCGCGATTATTATGACAGCATCCAATGTGCTTTGATGGTGGGCGGCAATCTTCCCCTTAATCACGCCATCGCAGTCATTAATTTACTGTCAGCCCTCGTCCATGTGCCACGCTGCAATCTCCTGCCTGAGAGGCAGAGAGCTCGCCTGGAAAACAGAGGAAAAAAAGAAATATATCAAAAGGCAGAGGAGGGGGGGGAGAGACAGAGAGTGGTGAGTGTGTGTTTGATGGTTCAGGAGACAACCTCCTTTTTACTGAGGCATTGGAGCGAGTGGGTGTATTTTTTTTTTGTACGCAATATTGTCTTAAAACAAGAAAGCAAAAGAACATCTGATAAAGAAAAAGGTCACATCGTTAAACACACACACAATTGATGCTTCATCCAACATGTACTAATCGTAGCAATCTATTCTCTCTGATCATTCCAGGTTTCCAGCACTATATATAGCCATTAATTAGTCAGAAGTAACTTAAGGCTTATTTCGCAGAACCTCATAGGGATGATGCATTACCTGCTCACACCTCTGCTTTGCCTCAGTCTCTGCAATTAATTTGCGTGGTTTGTTTTCGACAGATGTCTCCGAGACATTGCTAGTGATTTCAATATTTCCCACAGATATCCCGCAACTTCACACGTCGTATTAGCATGCAAGACGTGCGCCGTCTCTGTAGCTCCCATTACCTCCATGACTGCTCCGTTGCATCTAGAGGTGTGCCGCTTTAATAATGTCTCCGCCGACAATAACGACGATAGCTCATTAGAAACATATTCAATACAGTTAATGACTGATTTTTGCAGCTTACTTTGTTCAGGCAGTCGGCACCAAAGCCTCTCCAATTTCGTGTTATTTTCTTACATATCAGCGGGGATTCAAAGTTGTCATCGCTTCTGAGGCAGTCAATTAAAGATCTGAGCTCCCCATCAGGTGGAGGCTGTTGAAAGAGATAAAACGACAAAGCTCAGATGATTCGGTTCTTTTTAAGCTTTTTTTTTTTTACTTTGTGCAAATGTGTGTGCTCTGTTGAGTATGTGCAAGCGTAGGGTTTGTGCAGGATTTACTTCAGTGTGTATGAGTGTGTGTCACTGAGCAGCAGCAGCAGCAGCAGCAGCAGGCCCCAGGTCCAAAAACACCTCCATGATCTGTCAATGTGTGTGTGAAAAGCCAAAGTACAGACGTGTAGGAAGAAATGAGTGACAGGGGAGAAGGAGAAAATGGGAATTCAGCCTTAAAGTGTGTTTGGGTGTGTATGTGAGGTAGTAGGGGGTCATAAACAGCTTAGGAGGGGCAGCCAGAGGCACTAGGGATTAGTCTTTTTTGCCTCCTTTCAGTCATCTCATCCCAGCATGGTCAGACGTCCCGCCCTCCTCCTCCTCGTCTCCCCGAAGCCCGGCCACATCTGACACATGTAACCAGCCGACCCGCACTTGTCACGGAGGAAATGAATCTCTCTGTTTCTGCGCGAGACCCCTGCGAGCCTCCACCAGAGCCCTCGCCGCCACCTCATTTCTCGCCGCCCCCTCCTCTCCACTCAACCACCTCGCTCCCGCTGCTGAGAGACGCCGTGTTTCTGTTCTAATGAAGACCTTGGGAGGAGAGGCCATTTCACACTTGATTCCCTCCAACACCCTTGATATGTTTCAGCATTTGGAGACGGGAGCACAGGCTCGTGCTGTTTGGTGTTTGGTTGCACCTCCTTTGTGGGGAACGGAGAGTGTGAAGCTGAAGCAAAGTGTCTTGTGTGCAATAACTAGCTGGAAGTTTGAGGGAAAAAAACATCAAAACACATGGATGCAAGATCACTTCTAGATGTGATTAATCAAGTCTCGCCTCTTATGTGTTGCATTTATGAACTTAAATGAAGAACTGGTGTAGACATCAGGGTACTACACTGTGTTTCAAGAGAATTGTGGGAAATCTGACAACCGCTGATTTGTTAGTCAATAGCTTGTTGATCTCTCCCCGTGGGAAGACGAGAAATACTTCAGTGCTGGAGCAATTATGTATTTTCTGATAGCATTAGCATAATTATAGTTTATTTATAGTCTAATATTTTATAACTTGGCAACAACTTGAAAGAATAACACTTGAAGTCCTCCGACATTTATCAAAGCCCCTCCGATCACACTCTCCAAGCTGAGAATGTCTTTCATGATCAAACACTTTCAAACTCAGAAAACCTTGGATGGGAGTTGGCAATAAATGTCTCAAAAAAAAAACAAGAAGAAGGAGTTTTGCGCTGGAACTTAAATAACCTGGCTGTTTGATCTTCAGTAGAGGGGCTCCGTCGTGTTTGTGAAGCCATTGTTATGCATCAGAAATGCATTTTTATGCTAGATGTGTCGGATTCATTTCGATCAGTTTCTGTTTGTTCTTTAAAGGTTAGGGACGGATTCTGTGTCAGCAAAATTAAATTATAACAAGGTAACTTTTGCAGCTCTGCTGAAACTTTCTGTCATATCACTCGATCTGTACCTCAACAGATGGAGTGTTGTTTTTACATTTCTGTGTTTTCTCTTTTATCTACATAGGAGGTGGAACTGTGTCGACTCAGCAGCCAGGAGAAGCTGGGCTTAACTCTGTGCTACAGGACGGATGAAGAAGAGGATGTGGCCATCTATGTTAGTGAGGTGAGTAGATAATGTTCCCTTTAACATATTAGACCTAAACGTCCAGAGTTACAGGGTTTGTTTCCTTTTTCTGTGTTCATTGTTACATAGAACTCTCTCTCTGAATGTCTGAAATCATTCTGTTTGTGTGTAATTGTATTATGGGGGTATTATTGTAGCAAAATGATTTGTAAATGTGTATGGAGAGCTGTGTGTATCTCAATCTGTCTGTAGTGACATTTGTGAATTTGTAAAAAGATTTGTACAAAAAAAAATGTCAATGTGTAAAAAGATTTGTCAATGTGTAATAATAGAGTAATAAGTAATAAGATATTAATAAATGAAAAGTCTAAGTATTTGGCTACAAGTGCTTGAAATACAGACAGATCACCAGTTACAAGTCAAGCAGGCCTCACAATCGGCTGTCTTTTTACACAGGACTTTTGCTACACTTCTGCCCAGAGAGATTCTTCACTGTAATTTTCGGGTTTCTTTGCCCTGAGCTCAGACTCATAGACTCATTCATTCTGGCTGCGTGCCACTCTGCTGCTCTTTACCTCAGTAATTATGCAGCTTGAGATACAGACACACAACTCTCCATACACATTTGCAAATAGTTTTGCTACAATAATATCCCAATATTGTATCCACTCTGTCATGCCCTTAAAATTAGAAGAAATATAATATACAAAACATGGTTGCTGTGGCACATACACGACCTTCTGCCAACAATTGCACACTTACAAATGCTGCATTTCACTAATACCCAAATGACCACTGTGCAAAACGACAGGTCAGCATCCAAAATCTCAATTTACGACACACTACTAAAGAAACTTGAGTAAAACTGAGTGCCCATTATATCAGAAATAGGAAATCAGTGCACACGATGGTGATTTCACATAGAACGTGAGGCCCTCTCTCATCTTTTCTCACTCTGCCTTGCTCTTAGATACTGGAAAAAAAACATGCAGCATACACATATCTTCCTTCTGCCAGCTATTTTTAGGCCAACCATGATAGTAAGGACTGCTAGCTGTTTGAAAAATGAAAATATTAATACTCTTGAGGCAAAAGGTATATGCATATTCTACAGATATTTCACTTCTTTGAAGTCTCCCATTTACATATCATACTCTGTTGTTGAAACCGACAGTCATCGTCTTGTGAGATCAGAGCGCCTGAGTAAAATGTCCAAACAACGGAGAAATCTCAGTCACTCAGACTAAATCAACTGTGACATTTAATATTCATCTTCCAATTTGTGATTTATTTCAGTATTCATGTGAGCAAAGCAGGATTCTCTACTGGGTGCAGTAATTTTAAAATTGAACTCTTTTATCATCCATAAATGACATTGTTGAACATTTTGGCAATGATCTAACTGCATGATTACACTGTCAGCTGCCAAAATGAAATGACTGCCAAGACAGAGAAAACAAAAAGACAAACAAAAATGCTTTTGGGTGTTGTCTGCATTCTTCACCCAGCCTCAGCGTAGCTGTCAACAAGCAATGAGATACATGTTAGGAAAAAGACTCTTGCCCTTTGTTTTTCTCCCACTTGTAGGAAGCAGAGAAAATTCTGTTCTCCATTCTGCTCAACTTTCTCTAAAATTCGTTTGAAGTTAACTCGGACCATGCAAGGTGTTCGCTTTGACGGCTGAGCCGAATATAAATCACCGTGGTCGGTGGCTCCTGGCAGCATCTTTAAGTGTTTGTTTTGTAAAAAAAAAAAAAAAAAAAAGTAGAGCTAAGAGGAGTGTGCTGCATTTAGATGAGGCGACTGAATGTCAGCGTATACAGGATGTGTCAGAGGAGGTGCCACATGCTCCGATACTGCATAAACAGAGGAAACACATCAACATGAAGTTAGGGACATATATTTTAAAACAAGCCGACCTTATAGTGCTTGTTGAATGGCCACATGTTTACATTGTTCCTTTGTTGCCTCATACAATCAATCAAGCTTTACTTAAACTCACAGCGACACTGAGGTAAAGGGCCTCGTTTGCAGCACAGCTGAGCAAAGACACAAACAAGCTGAATATGTAGAAATACAATTTTTAAAAATGTAATAAAATTTGCAATAAAAGTGCTAAAAAGGCAAATTAGTCAAATATTAAAACCTTTAAGAATAAATGGAGGAGTGAATTAATTATAACAAGAGCAGCTAGAAGTAAAAGATGAAATTGGAAACCTGTCCAACAGATAAAAAACGAGCACAGCTTTAGACTGTCGTACGTGTAAATTCAGGTTGTAGATGCACAATAAGTAAAACTGGATTTTGCAATTTCAGTAAAAAATGCCTGCAACGTAATCCAGTCATTTGAGCGTGTTTGATAAGGGCTTGCATTTGAAGACAGCGGCAAAGTAATGTTGGGGAATTTAAAACTACAGTAATGACCTTAGAAATGAATAAAACCCAGTGAGTTACAGAGGGGAGCATACGGCTCACAATGATAATTATTGTAATTATCGCCGCTGATAAATCTCAGTGCAGAGTGATAAACCGTAATAAACAGGAGTGGCAGCAGTAACAGTGCTGTGCTTTTCTCTGCAGCTTGATTGATGCATGTTTAAAACAAAGTGTGCTATGTGTTTAGCTGATTGTTTATTAGAGATTCTAGGGTTTTTGGTCGGCATAATAATTTAGAATTATGTTTTTTTTTATGTCAGTGTTACATAAGAGGCCTCCCAGCGTTTGGGAAGCTATATAGCATTTCCACGCTTTCAACAGTAGGGAACAAGTGCATCCTCATCAAGTGAATTCTTTTTAAAACTGCAGACAAACCCACGTCTCCAGAAGACAACAGTTGTACGGTAAAACAGGGCCTCTGCAATATGTGGATGTCACGATCAGCAGCCTACTATAGGTTTCATTGGAGTGCATACAGCAGTTAAATATTTAGAGGAACAAGAGCAGAAGTTCCACAGGTCCATCCATTTTCGAAACCTGTTCATTTGGAATCTGTGCCAGTGTGTATAAGGCCACAAGGCCGAGACTATCCTGCACAGGTCATCAGTCTATTGCAGGGCCACCAGACCCACTGATTCTCACCGGTGAGCAATTTAGAGTTTTCAGTTCACCTACCACCTCTTTGTTTTTTTTTTTGGTTTTTTACAGCAGATCCATTTCTCATATTTTCTTCCTACACTTCAAGCACGGTGAAAAAAAGAAAAGTGCACACAGATAGAACCAATGCCGAGAAGAAAACCCTTCTTTTTCCTTGTTTCTCTGGTGCAAAACTAAAACCAAAGCCATTTCACTTCACATAATAGTCCTTAACAGTAAATATAGTCTTATATTTTCAGCTGTACATTATTCATGGTTGGAAGCTCTCCCTTCAACCTTCAGTTTTCTCGGTTCCTTCCAGTCCTTCACCCATTCTTGTCTGGGGACCTTCCTCCCACTTTAATGGGTAGTCCTCTGTGTAGGAGAGGACCATCATGAAGATGGAGCACACAGCACCTCGCCGTCTTCAGAGATCTCGCCTGATAGGAGAAAGTGAAACAAACGGCCCCGGACGCCGATTGATTGGTCGATGAAAAAGTGTCCTGCCCTCTTGTTGACTAGCATTAGTTACCGGAGGAGCAGGTGCATCACGTACTGGGGTTGAGTTACAGGCTGGAGATGCTTTATGCAGTGATTTCTGCTTTATCAACTTGCCAGAAAAAATAACAGAGGCAGGTACAAAATGACAGCTTGAATGATTAGGGCTTTTGCTCAGCTTCCAGAATAGGGGCTAAAATGGCTTTGAAAACTGACCTGGCAGCTCTGAGAAAGCCAACTGACATTGAAGGTCTTCTCTCGGCAGTGTTAATAACAGTCTAGACATGTCTAGTGCAGTGATGTCTTCTGAATGAGTTAAAATATTTTCAGGCACTCCTTGATTCTCTGGAATGAAGATTGAAAGTGTTTTCGAGGCATTATTTTGTTCCTTCTACCTTCACAGATCTGTCCAAACAGCATTGCCGCCCGTGATGGACGTATCCGAGAGGGGGATCGCATTTTACAGGTGCAGTACGACCCACTCAGTGCCCACCTCTACACCACCTCTCATTAGGTTCGACATAAAAACCTGCTTTTATTTTGTCGCACTCAACCGCTGTCTCCCAGCACGAAAACCCATTCATTTTTAATGGCCGCACATTAAAGGGGGAACTCGCCCCCGCTGTGACTGTTAAAGGGGGAGAAATGTCCCCCTGGCTGCTTTAGTTACCGACTCAGCACCAACAGGGGGTTTTAAGAGTTCTGGTTCAGGACGGGGCTGTGCTGCAGCTCACTCCCTCCAGTGGGATAGCTCAGAGGCTATGACTCTTATTAGCCACTAGCTTCATCTGCAGGCCTGAGATCTGGAGGAATTCTGCTACTGACGAGGAGCAGTATTTGTTAGGGCTCAGAGCTGGATGGCGTTGCTTCTGAGGTCCAACTGAATTCAATTCAGTTTTATTTATACAGTGCAATTCACAGCATAGTCACCTCACAGCGCTTAACATTGTGAGGTGAAGACTTCACAAATTTTAAACAGAGAAACCAACATTCCCTCTGAGCAAGCGGCCAGCAACAGTGGGAAGGAACCAAATCACCCCCCAATGGGGATGGGGGGCAAAACCTCCAACAGAACCAGGCTCAGGAAAGGCGGCCATCTGCCTCGACTGGTTGGGGTGAGAGATAGCAGGAAGGGTGAGTAAGTCTGGTTCTAGAGAGAGATTGTTTAGGTATTTTAGCATGTGCCAGATTTACTGTCCCTCTTGCTCCTATTCAGTTTACCCCGGTCCTGTGCAGAATCCCAAACACGCATTGGCTTGTGCATGCATACAACACACTGGAGTAGTGTTATGAGGACTGATCTGAGCCACTTTGCCATTTACATAGCTAGGGATGACTACTAGTGGTTGGCCAATATGGTTCTTCCAGGGCTGACACAGATATCAATTATTAGCAATCAAGGTGATTCTAAGCCATATTTGCAGCAAAAATTAAAATCTTAGTGTTAAAATTTAGTACAACACTAACTCCACTGTAAAACTTCTCTGAAAATTCCTTAATTTATTTATGTTTTACATATGTTTCACTGGAAGAGAACTCTTCAACATTTATTTTTTAGCATTGACAGGCTATTCCTCATTATGTGTCACCAATCAGACACAGTGTGAGAGCGGTGACTGCAGACAGAGAGAGACGGCTGCATCATAACCAAAGTACAACATTCATGAATTCATTTATCTTTTTATAAAGCAGTTTAAAAAAAAATTATACTGATAATCGGAAAAATGCTAAATATTGGATCCGATAATCAGCCAAGTCAACTGTGTAGGAACATCACTTCTTTTTTTTCTTTTTTTTTTGCACACACAGTATCGACAGCTAGCAGACCAGGAGGAGATGACCTCTGAATTGGACATACACTGTATTGGATTACATTCACTGGCTTTACTTTTGTCTCATAGGAGAAGTTAAACTAGCTGAAAAAAAAAACACATCTGATATTGCTATGTTATGGAACTGTTATGGCAGTTACACTTTTAGCTGGTGCAACAGTAAGAATTAAGCCATGTCTATACAAAAAACGGTTCCATCTTCTGGTCTTACAGGTCTGATGGAGCAGATATGTCTGTTCTTTCGTTATTTATGCGCATAAAAAGAAGTGAATGACTATTGAACTGTGAGCGCTTCCACAATGTGGGTTCCTTGCAGCTCAGTACTGTGCCCGAATGCCTCCTGTGTAGACACAAATGGAGCACCGTGGGTTTAAGCCACCTTTAGGTCTTTTGGTCACCACCAGCTCCTTGGGAGAAACTCTTCAACTCATTAAGTATTCATTGTTTTCACCACCTCCTCTTTGTCACAACAACTCACATCTTTTAGAATATATATGAGCCTGTGATACATTGTTAATATGAAACATGCCTGTGTTTACAAGTGCGACTTAAAGGTAAAAAAAAAAAATAACGTAGCGTACAGGGAGACGTCATTTTTGATCCCACTAATAGGCTATCAGTGAACGGGAGTGGCAGATGAAGTGAAAGTTGAGAAACACATAGCAGTATAGATTTAAAACATTCAGCAAGTGCATAGTTTAGTATTTTGAGAAGAAAAATGGGAATAATGTCAAGGGAGAAGAAAATAGTCTGTGCAGCAGGTATTAGGTGTAGGCAGTGGATACGTAAGTAGCATTGGACTAATTGTCCGCTGGTGTCTACCATGTGTTGTCTACTGATTTGAGCCAGGAGTGTGTGTATGTGTGTGTGTGTGTTTGTGTGTGTGTGAGGCAAACCAGTACTCTGGCACTATTATCCACCAGTGACAGGGCCATTACTCTGCCTGCAAAAAGATGGACGCCACCTGTCAGTGGCCAGTTAATTGTACGACTAGATGTATGTACGCTGCCGGATACTTGGTGAACACAACAGCTCTGTCGGCCCACGGCCACCGTCTCATTCATAATCACTGCTGGGTCCCGATTCATATTAGAGAGCAGCATAGAGTGTTTACAATTTCCCCGGGAACAAAAAGGAATTATTGTGCAGTGCCACTTTTATTGTGGCACTTTGTTTTTCTTAAGGGCTTTAGCATTGGAGAGGATAAAACTTGGCCACAGTGTGTATTTGTGTCTCTGCCTCTGTTGAAATGTTTGCTTGCTTGTGTTTGACATGCGAACGTTGTAATCGTGTTTGTCACTTTCAGATTAATGGCCAAGACGTACAAGACAGAGAAGAAGCGATGGCTGCACTCTCCAATGATGAGCGTAGGAACATCGTACTGCTGGTTGCCAGACCTGAGATGCAGGTTAGAAGTGACTGGAGTACCTGCTGTGGGCCGTACAATTAACAAATTACAGTCCTGATGCCATTTACAGTATATTTGCTCAGAGTAAACCTCAGCAGTCTGGGGTAGCCAACCAACCCCCACCTCTCACCGCACACAACCACTCCTAGTAGAAGCCACCACCGAGACACCTCATCATGTTTTATTTTTATGTAGCGCCACTGTAATTGACTTCCAACGGTAAGCCATAAAAGCTAATGGCATGCTAATGTGGAGTGAGTTCAGGCCCAAGGCCGATGGCAAATAAGCGGAAGGACTCTGCCGCAGTGCAGATGAGCAGGAAGCATCGGTAGACTCTTTATAATTAAATGCGTCTCTCGGTAGTAAATCTGAAGTCATCAGATATGGATGCCATTTGGTTCACATCAAGCGGACAAACAGATGATGGATGGTGTGGCGCTAACGGGTCAAAGGTGCTACTTTTTATGTCCATCAAAGTATATTGGCCTGATTTTAAGATTAGAAGGCATGTTTAAAAGATGAGGGGTGTTTTGTTGGTAGAGAAGCAGCATATCAGTGAAGCACCACATCATGTTGATGCTTGCAGTTTCTTATTTTAAAACCATGCTGGGGTGTTTTTTCAGAAAATCCCATTTGGCTATCCATTTGGAACACCGGGCTATTTGTTCTGAGACACTGTGTCGCCACAAGCTTTAAGCCTTGACAAATAACAGTTGCCCCTTTCCCTTTGCCTCTCTCTCTCTCTCCCCCCATATGCTTTCTTTCCTCATTCACCCTTAGCTGGAAGAGGCCTGGCTGGATGATGAGCACAGTGAGTTCCTGGAGCAGCTGAAGATGGAAATGTTGGAGGAGCAGCAGAGAGAGGAGATGGAATTAGCTGCCTTACAAGAGGAGCAGGAGAACGAGCAGGTCAGACAGCAGCAAAACATATCGACTGTGCAAACAATTAGCAAACCTTTCTCGTCTCTCTTTAAGGAACCTTAAAACCTTTTACTTCTGTTTAATAGAATAAAGTCCCTAAAAACTTTAGAGAATAAGGAAAGTTTAAGTCATCTGGCAGACGGATCGTAGGGCCGAGAATGTTATTAACATCAAACCATCACAGTGCCAAATAACTGCTTTTCCTGTATTGGGTCATTATTCACAGTCAATATTAACCTTGTCTTTGAAATAACAAGAGATCTGTCTTGTGGCAGAGATGGAATCAAACTCTTCATTGACTTTCTTGGCAAAATTGAGCAAAAACAAGCGTTACCCTTTGAAATGTGAATACAAAATAATGATTATGAATATTTATGAAAGGGGACCATTGAACCATTTAAATTCCAAACATTAGTAATCATAATTTAAAATTCTGTTTTGTTTGGAGGATAGCACACTACAAAAATCCATATAAATGGGACTTCAAAGACATGGCAGAGAGGAGAGACAATCCCTGAAGTAACAGAGCTGTATAACAGAGTTATGCACAACAGCATATGTATTCCTTCAGGAGAATACAGAATAGGATTGCACTTCTTGAACTCTGGAGAAGTTCTTGTGACTTTGTTGTCTTATTTTCCGCATTTTATAGGGGAAGTAAATCAGAAGAAGACTCCACAGCAAGTGGAGTATGTTTCTAAGTATAGTGGCACATATAAAATACAATACTGAATGTCCAATTACCATACGCATAAATTGTAAAATAGTTAATATATATTTATACATGTTAATTTTTTAAAACACACTCATGGATGGCACTTACTGGAAGCTTGTAAGTGCCATCCATGAGTGTGTTTTGATAATGTGTTCATTGTAATGTATGCATAAAATATTTATTGTTTTTTTGTTTACTGTATCCATTTCAGAGAGCAGACGATGACAAGCCCACCTGCTCCACACTCTCGCATCATAAGGACAGTGTATTAAGTATAAAAGACAGAATGGAGAGTTCAGAACATAATGTCTTGGCACACATCCAGAGACGTCTGTCTCAGTGCCTGAGAGACAATCGGGACACACACTGTACCAGCAGCTCCTCAAGGCTGGAGGACAAGGAGGATGAGGAAGATGATGAGACAGAGGGCGATCGTTTCCAGCAACTTTTGGAGCTAAAGTGTCAGATACGTAACAGCGGTGAGTATGACCTGTTCTACAGCCGCCGCAGCACCATTGAGTGCAGCGTGGGGGAGCAGGGCGGAGTACAACACGAGCTACGTATGCTCAATGAGGAGCTGCGCAGCATCGAGCTCGAATGTCAGAACATCATGCAAGCCCACAAGCTTCGCAAAGGTCAGCAGTCTCCCTCGACGGGCCGTTCTGTGCCCTCCACCAAAAATCAAAACTTCCACCATGGAGACCCGACAAGGGGGAAGCTGACCGACATAAACGAGAGGCTGGAGAAATCGGACAAGGACAGCTCCAGTGCCTATAACACAGCAGAGAGTTCACGGAGCACCCCTCTGGCAATGGACCGCTCCCCAGAGCACTCACTCCAGAGGATGGTTAGTCTCACCAACCAGAGGAACCTCTGCAGCGGTCTTGCTACTGGCCACTCTCTAAGCCCCAGTCCCATCCCAGCATGCCGTGTTCCAGTCCTGGGCAAGAGCAGCAGCCCAGACCACAGCAATCCATCCGAGTCAGACCAGACACCTCAGGCTGAGGAGGAGAGCAGAGGGAAACTTAAGCAATGTGCTTCTCGGATTCCTTACTTCTCTCCTTCCCACAGCTCCCAGCAGAGGCAGGCCAACATTCCAGCTCATGCCCGCCACTACCAAAGCTATATGCAGCTGATCCAGCAGCGCTCCGCTGTTGAGTACGCTCAGAGCCAGCTCAGCCTGCTTAGTGTCTGCAAAGAGCCACAGGGGCCCATTAATGAGCCCAAGATGGAGTGGAAGGTCAAGATCCGCAGCGACGGCACCCGCTACATCACCAAAAGGCCTGTGAGAGACAAGATCCTGAGGGAGCGAGCCCTAAAGATTAAAGAAGAGCGTAGTGGAGGAATGACCACGGATGATGATGCAATGAGTGAAATGAAGATGGGGAGGTACTGGAGTAAGGAGGAGAGAAAGCAGCACCTGGTCCGGGCAAAAGAACAGAGGAAAAGACGAGAATTCATGCAGCGTAGTCGACTGGAAAGTTTAAAGGAGAACCCTCAGAGCAGCAGCGAGGGTCGCAAGGAAGTCAGCATCATAGAGCTCAGCCAGAAAAAGATGATGAAGAAACGCAACAAGAAGATCTTGGATAACTGGATGACAATCCAGGAGCTGATGACTCATGGCACTAAGGCCGCTGAGGGAGCCAAAGTGCACAACGCCTTCCTTTCAGTCACTACTGTATAAAAAAAACACACACATTCTACCCCATGTGGTACAACATACTTGCCTCGTTAAATGTGGCATTTTTATGAGGACAATAGGAATATTTTTCACACTTTGTAACCCAAAAAGCATTTTGTAAAGGATTTATCAGTGGCGTCATTACATTTTCTTGATGTTTTTCGAAATTGTTTTTCACATCACTCTGTGGGGAAAACATTTTTCTATGAAACAATGACAATACAATTATTTTATTACTTCACTCTAGACATGATTATCTTTTCAATTCTATTTTCATATTTATGTTGTAACCATATAACTCAAGACAGTTGTATGAGACTCTTAAGTTGTTTCTGTTGTGTATTACGTACACTTACCGATGACGGATCAGTGGGTCACCTGCCTTTCATTTACTTTTTTACTGCTCCTTTAATTAACAGATCTACCTGGCCTTCAAAGCTGAAATCACCAAGTTTCTCATTATTCAGAGTTAGTTGAATTTATGTTTCAGATTACCGGTGCTTGGACATGGCCTAAAATTCTAATTTAATAATCTAAGGCTCAAGCCACACTGCTTACTTCATCTGTGCATGACTGGCGTGGAACCTCTTTCTTTCAGTGTCCATGTAAACAGGTTAGAGCAGCAACACAACCTGCATGAGATACACGTCTAAGGCGTGGCTTAAACCTCGCTGCAGATTATCTTGAGTTTCGGCATGGAGCCTACTTTTCCACACGAGGCGCACAGTTGGTTCTCAGCAAAAAATAGGTGGAAGAAGATCTTTTGATAGTCATATTGACATCATACCAGCAACATTTCACTACAGTTTCAGTGTCTATATCTGTAGAATGTCAGAGATGGAGAAAAAGAGCTTTTAAGTTCAATCAGCTCATCTATTTTAACTCCATTTTCCATCCATCTTAAAAGGATGGAAGATTGAGTAATAAAAAAAAGAAAAACAAACAAAGGCCCTTTTGCAGACAGAATTCCTGAACTAATAATTAATTGTGTTTTGTTCACTGAAGTCAGTTTAAATGTGGAAACACAACAGTAGCAGCCCTGCAGAAGCAACACTCAGTGTGGACACACACAGGCGAAGCTGCAGCAGTTCAGCAGGTTATCCGTCACCCACAGGTGGAGGTGGGTGGTGTGGCCTGAGCCTAAAGGGCCTTTCACACAGGACGCGGTATGCGCTGCGCTTACCACGGGGTTCAGCGCACAGCTCGTGGTAGTTGTGAAATAACCAGCAAAATAGGCGGCGTTTTCAAAACTTCCAGCGGGGCGATGGAGGTGTTTTGTGCTAAGTAGCAAGCATTAGCACTAGCCCTGCTAGTATGAAAGCTTTCCTCCCTGAGTCTCGACGCAACTGCAAAGTCGTGTCATATAATGCAGGGAATTCAGACACAAACCAGCTTTTCCTTCACTGTGCCCTCAGTGCCCGGCGAGATGCCTCGTTTCTTTTGGCCGTGGTTATACATGAGAGCGCACTGGGGTCAGAGTTCAACATATTTGAACTTTGACTCCAGCAGGCGTGTGGTCTCACTGCCCTGCATGCTGCGCTGCACTTGAGCTTTGCTGTTGTGCGATACCAGCTATTGAAATAAATGGGTTCCAGAGCGCAGCAGCATCATTGCACCGTGTTGTGTGAAAGGCACTTAACAGATACCATAGAGATGTGGTAGCTGCATAGCACTTAGGATAGCTTAAGTGTTTTTTTCAAGTTAATGTACGTTACAAACTTCAGCTTTAAAGGCACACATGTCACACATTCCAGTTATAGTACTGTATAATTTGTTTCTTATAAGGAAGTTGAGTATAACTATGGAAAAGTGTAATGAATTTGAAATAAACTGTAACTTGGAATGCAGTTTCATGGGTCAAATGCTTTATGTCAACAAACTTGGTTGCTGCAATCATGAAATGTTGATGTACTTCAGCAGCTAATTTTCATTCAGTTGTTACATGCAAAGATATATATATATAACAAAAATGCATTTTCTATGTCCCAGTTAAAGCAAGGAAGACACTGACTCCATCCATTCCTAAAAGGAAGAAAATCCCCCAAAAATGTTTGAGCATTGTAAATTGTCAGCGAGTAAAGATTTCTGGTCAACGATTAACTTTTGTTAATATCAATTTTATCAGCAATTTTGTAAAAGTGTCTTTAAAAAGTTGGATACCTCATTTTACAGTGAAACTCTTCATGTGTTCTTTCTGCAATTTGTGACCTTGAGGACTTAAGCAGCAAAGCTACAAACAAGGAAACAGCACATGCAAAGCTGCTACACTGACAGGTCAAAGCCTTTGTGTACACAGAGAATATGTCATTTTATCTAAATATTTTTGGAGATTCTTAATGTACGGGACATCCAAAAAAATAAAAAATAAAAAATGCATCTCATTGCCAGTGCTGCTGCTTTGTTTGTCTGGTTTGCAGCTTTGGGTATAATTGTTTTGTATTCAATTTTATTTTGGCTTAATATTGAGTTTTTTCTACATATTCGACAACAGATGGACCTGCCCATAGCTTTTCATACCAGTATTTTCTACATCATTTTTACTCTCCATGTACACCTTCACTCAGCACAGCCTTAACAGCAGAACCTGCATCACGTTGGTGTGGCAACCTGATTTCATACACAAGCTGTCTGTATATCTCTGTGCAACAGAGACAGTTTACTTAGCCTTATTCATACATTGTTTAATTTGAGTTTTTTTCGTAAACTGGAAACATTCATAGATATTGTATAGTCGTTGCTGAGTTATGTTTGCTGTCACGTTAAACTGGTGTCGGGATGATTGCCACTGAGCAGGACTCAGAACACAGCATTTTAGAACTGGTGAAACGAATGGGTCGCTATTTATCAGAAGTCTTTATAGTTCAGTTACATGTACAGTATACTCATTCCAAATGCCTCATTTTTAACTCAAGTATTGTAAATTTGAAACTTTAACCCAAGTCCTGTATGTTTTGAGTCAATGTCTGATGCTCTCATTTCGAGTAATGCGTAGGTGGCGCATTTGTTGCCAGGTAAAATATGTGATGATGGTGATCTTTGCAAAAGAAATGATAATAAATTATTGTTTTTTGGTATCACAGTGGACCATGTTATTTTTTTTCCAGACAGCTGTGAAGGACAACAGCCTACTTCTACTTTTTAGTTAGTGCCAAGTGTTTGAACTGTGGTAAAAAAAAAAAAAATACTGACGATACTGAACTCATAAGGGCTCGATCACACGTTTATAATGGAATACAATTTTTCTTTTATTCGTTTTACTAATCCACTTAAAATGTTTCTTTTCTGTGAAGTGGTTGGTGTGAACTGCGCTGCTCTTTTAGTCATCTGTGACAATGCTGTGTGACAGTGGATAAAGAAGAGAGTTAGGAAATGGTGTCACATACGAAAAGTAAACGAGGGAGTAAAGAGATGTGACAAAAACTACAGAAAGTCACCCCAGTCTTGTGAGGTGAAACAGAATTACTTGTTCACTGAGCACACGTTCACCTCAGATATCTCCTGAAGAGTGGCTCACTGTGAATATGTTAAGTTATTAAACAGAAGGAGGTTTCAATTAAAATCTCCTTCCACTTGGATGGCTTTGTGTTCATTAAAATGTACCAACCACTTAATCATCACTATGGCCTTGTCATATGCAGGGGAGAGCTATTGGGATACCCTGGTCTCTCTGTATTATCTTAAGTTGTCAGTGTGCTATAGCTGAAATTGAAGTGTCACGGATACCGTATTGCCTGAAGACTGTTCTGTACTTCCTTGTTTCCCTTTAACTGAGAACTTGTTCCATTTTCAAGACCTGGTGAAATATAGAAGCAACAAAGTCTTTTTGATATGAAACAGTTTTTTTAGCATTTCGTTTGCTCGGCACTTTTTTTTTTCTGTCTTCAAATTTCCATATTTCCCAACACTTAGCGTGCGTAAACGAGCCTGTGAATAACTCCATCCAGTTCAGTACAAGACAAAAAATGCCATTGTTCAAACTGTGTATCACTATGAAAGCACTTCCTAATGGTGTACTCTAATTTACATACAATTCTGTTTTATAATTTGAAGGCATCACGTCCTGTGAGATTTGGTTGTACTCCATGGCCAGTACCTTTCATTTTCATTATGCTGCACTTAAAAGCATCTCCATTTATACACCAAGCAGACATTACCATCTAAGTTGATATTGAAGACTAGATTCCCGCCATCCCGCGAGTCCATCCACGCTCCCCTCATTTGTTAATTCTCTCAGTCCGTATAGACGGAGACCATTAAAATGCCAATGAAAAGCCACAGAAGAAGCTAGTAGGTTGTACCAACCAACGCCAGAACTAGACCGAGTGCTTGCCAGCTAATTAAGTTCATCCGTGAGCCCCTGAAAGACCCAGTCAGGTGTAATTAAAATGGAGCCTGTGACAGCCATGGCATTTGTCAGAGCTACCCAGCAGTTCAAATACCGGTACTGACAGAAATGTCAAGCAGATAGCAGTAGCTCATCTCCTCTTCAGCGCTCTACTCACACACACACACAAAGCCATTGCCTCTGTTATGAATGTTTGCTGATAACCTTTAGGATTCCCTGAACAGCAAAAACTACAAATTCTCTCTCATTATTCATCCAGGGAGGCCCGTATTTATTGACGTACAGATCCACTTGACACATGATGGTGCAATGTACTTTATAGTGCCCCTTCTAACTACTAATCTCAGAGGCAAGCAAAAAAACTGGTAATTGCCTCGGTTCATGCGTCTCTCGATGTCACTTTAGAAATTGATGGCAGCTTTGATCTTTGATATCATAAATGTTATGTTGTAGTAATTGGCCCCATCATGCCAGGTGTAGCGACGTGGATGCAGGTGCGATGGACAGACTGCTAGTGCTTAACCAGCTGTTGTGAATTTATGCCTTCTTCAGGCAGAATACAATAGTGGGTCTGTTGATAGAGAAATATGGTTCATAAGATCACTTAAAGCTGCAGTAGGCTGAAATCTGGGAATAAAAGATGCAAGAATTTGAAAATGAAGCCCTCCCCCTGCAGATCTCTTTCTTTCCTCTCTGTCCTAAGGCCTTCCCACCAGATATGGGCACGTGCACAAGTCAAACGTGCAAAAATAGTCAAGATGAAAGCCAACATTAACTTATGGTTACACATGGAATTGAAGCACTCCCACAAAGAACTTTATCACTCTTTATACTCTTCTACCTTATCTTGGCAAAAAAAACAAACAATCAAACAAAAAAAACTGTGATTGGCTGCAGTCTTCTTCCACCAGCTAGATTTTCTAAATCCTAACATCAGAGCCAAGAGCAGTTGCAGGAGTCTAGTTTTCTCTCAGACCACTTGAATTACAATATGCTGAGAGGTTAACATGGATTTTTTGCCCAGGACTGTCAAAAACATACTGCCTACCTTGGCTTTAGTGCCTTCTTTGAAATTCTCAAAACTTAAAATTGATATTTTGAATAAGCATTCTCTATCTTTTTCCATCTCTGTACCTTGCAGAACTAGCTGCTCTGTGAGGCTCTACTAAGGCTCAGCGGAGATTTGAGCTAAATGCTAACATTAGCACGCTAACATGTTTACAGTGACGGAGCCAAAGTTCTGCTGTATAGCAGGCATAGCGGTTGCCATGATCACCACTTAGCTTAGCATGTTAGCATGCTAACATTTGCTACTACTGATGAGCGTCACTTTTGCAGGTATTTTCTTATAAACCAAAATACTCTTAAATTAAAAATTTGAAGATGTTGCTGAGGAAAAAGTTTTCCAAGTTTTCCTGAGACGAATATTAGGGGGTGTGGCAAACTTCAAAAAAAATTGACAGACTTACCAGCTCAAATTAATGATACTAAGAATGAAAGTGTGGTTTGTTTGTTTATTTGGAGCTAAAGTTTAGTTGTTTGCTTCCAGCTGTTTATATAGTATTTTATATAGTCTTTCTTCTGCGATTATTAAACACCTACAGCATCAAACAACAGCAGGATCTGCACGAGGGTATCCAAATATAAATACAAATTATGCCCAATATGGAGACAGGATCAGTTTGGGTCAAATTCTAGATAGGTCCCACAAAGAGCTACAGTTTATAAACTGCGGTTAAATCATCTGACACATAGCGGATGTCCTCAGATTATGTACTGAGCTGCATCGCAGCTGCCTGGGCAGTTTTATTTTACTGCTGATAAAGTAGTAGTTTCTAATCACATATGAACAGAATTTTCAGTGATTGGGTAAATCACACAGAAATGAGGCTGTTGTTTATTTGAACAACTTGATGAGCTTGTTGTTAGTTAGAGTCTATTTGTTTATTAGTGCATTAATATGCATTGTGTAACTTTTTGTAGGGTTCAACTTTATGTGAATAACAAGGCTTCATCACTGGCTTAGGCTTCAAAACTGACCAATGTCTGAATGGCATCACTTTGGCAGATTGGTATAGCCTGCAAAGTTACATATCCCATGTCTGAAAAGGCCATTAGTTTTAGACTTTGAAGAGTTAAGATGTGAAATATATCATCATATTATTATCAGTGTATCTGAGAAAAGACACTGGCTGATTTGCCTCTTAAATGCAGTACCACCATAACTACACTGGTTTGGGGTCTAAATACACTTTCTTTGTTCAACTATCCATTTTGAAACTTAAAATGTAATTTTATTTCATTTTTTTTACTATCATTGTTGCTTCTTTCACACCCTAATCAGTGATATTCAAATTCAAAATATTTCAGTCTAGAGAAAGTGGGGGATCAAACAATTAACTAACAAACGAGTACTGCCATCCAAGCACTGGCACAAAAAGAACAATGCTAAAAAGCCTGACTGCTGATGTTTTTGTGTTCAGCGAGACATTTTAACGAAAATGTTAAACACTGTAAAACGCTCAGTGGGTTCTTTGGTTTGTCTTGTTTGTAGATATTCTTTCTGTACATGTACAACAAACTTCAGAGACTGATTCTGGGCTGCAGAGAAGTGGAACGCTGTGGTGCATGTTGATCACTTCAGACTACACTAAGCTGCCTCATGCTGCAGTAATTCAAAACATTTAATAATGCCTAGAGTTGCTGCTAGTGCAGAAAACTCCACCGCTTCAAATCAGTTCATTCCCAATATCTCTACACTATGCAGGAAGCCTGGTTCATGGCCAAGTGTTTACAGCCAACTGTGAATATGACACAAAAGTTACACAAGTTAATAGTTTTAAGGATTAGTTGAAAAGTCTGATCTGTTGTCTCACTCTTTTCTTCATCACAGCTCTGTGTATTCAAAGTCTCTGCTGGATATGGTTGTGTGTCATTATTGGCAGACATCTTTTATTGCTTCTGAGAACCATTTGGACTTTTTTTTTTCTCCTCCTACACCCTCGGTTTTATGTGTCATTTGTTGTTTCATTTTCACCCCAGCCAAAAGCATTTGGGGACCTATTAAGCAAAAACCTGTGAATATTTCAGAGCATAATTAGAGCTCTAATTACAATTCATTATTCATAAAATGGGTGAACCAAACTGCAATGCATACTGCAGAGGTCTCGTACTATTTGGATTGCAATTAGAATATGTATAATACTCCCTAAAACATATTGTAATACTGTTAGCCCTAGACAGAGATGTGCTAGTATATTATTCATAGACGCATATTGCAGATTTTAAGAGCTGGGTAATGCCCGCTGGTGGAAACATAATCTCTCTGCAACACTCAGCTCACACTATTACTGAAGTGATACAGCTGGTTTACTCCAGTGTTTTAAAACAGCCAAATGCTGCAAGGATTGAAACCATTTTTCTTCTTATAACTCATCTATGCATTAGGTAGTCTTGCAAGCCTTTAACTTGGGATCAAAGACTGCCACTACTCACTGACTCAGCCCTCCATATAAAATACCTGCTAGAGTTCTTAGATAGCAGCATTTAATCAAAACTCAAACCGAGATCCTCCAGGACAGCTTTAAAAAGCCCTGCATGAATCGCACCTCCCAGCCTGAAGGCGTAAGTCTCTCACCCTGGTGTTGTCTCTAACCTGCAAGGTGAAAAAGATTGACATGTGTGGTCAACTGTGCAAACTCTACACTGTATACAAATGTAATACTTCTGTAACCTTT